TTCGCTGTGTTATCTACATTCATATATAACACACATACACACATACATATATGAATGTATGTATATATAGGCATATTAAAGTACTTGTATGAAAATGTCATAAGGACAACAACAAAGAGCGTCGGGCGACATTGCAGCAGGTGGCTGACCCACTGAGAACGTCAATCGTCTGTACAAGAGCAGAAGAATGCGCAGCAGCCAATCAGAGGCAACCTGCCAGCCAACTCTCTCCCTACTTAACGGTTCATTGGCCCTGTCTCGCATTTTGGCAATTTACAGTTACAGTGACGCGTTCAGACGACATTTATACATTAGGCATGGAAAATTAAAAAAAAATAAATAAAAAATAAATATAACCAAATTGTGTGCAAACAAACCTGAGCATATTTAATCAAATTTCCCAAGTGACTAATATGTTTGCCGTCTCTCACTCTCATTCTCCCTCCCACTCCCACACAGTGTTAACATTTGCCAAATGAACTTCGCAGTTGACAAGCAGCCTGCGGCAAACAGAAGAGAGCGCACCAGCAAAAGATAGATAGAGAGAGCGAGTTGAATGCCATTGCTGGACATTTGTCCTTGAACCTGCAGCCTTTTTATTTTGTGTGTTTAACGTTTCGTGCCAGTTTCATAGGATTAGTCATTTCTACGAAAATATTGAAATACTTATACATTCAACCCCTTTTCTACTGGCTTCAATCGAAATTTCAACTTATTGTGAAATATGCTCAACACATTGACACAACCCAGAGGTTAATGAAATTACCTTGCTAATTTTTGTTATTTCAATAAACCAGTTACATTTTTTATTAATAAACCCAAGTTGCTAAAACGTCCCGAAAAGTTATTTACTCCCACTTTTTTTTTGTGAAGGGTGCAATGAACTTAGTAGTGACAGCTTTTTCCCCCTCCTGGGTGGCCGAGCACATTAAAAACAAACAACAGCACTTCAACAAAAATATATTTTTGAATGGCTAGCAAAATTATTGATCCAACAAAACGCAGCTTAGCAGGGAATCTGAGAAAAGAGTAGGGAACACTATAACAACATGAATATTCCTGCTAACAATTCTCTGGATATCATAACAGCCTCATGTACTGTTTACAGTATCTCTTTAAATTTTCCGGAATTGTGTTACAAACAACAATTACAGTAAAAAATGCAATGGAGCAAAAACCAACTGAAAACATGTTTTTCTTAAAATTGACAGCAATTGCTATCAAAATGACCATCAAAAATGGCACATAATACAATAGTCAAGCTTTTCATCTATAAATTAAATAATTTAATAAGTTTTTTATTAGTACACTTTATTTTTAAACCGCAAAACATTCAAAAAGCACTTTTTGGCCTTGATGAGCGATATCTTTACATACAAACGTGCATATTCGTACATATGTACAAACATTTTTAGCAGGCTTTTAAACTGTTTAACCTCAATGCGCTTTGAGTTGTTTTTATTTTATCGACTAGCCAAAGTTTAATGAACGCGAAAAATGTGAAAATAAGTATTCCAAAAATATGATAAACAGCTCGAAGTCGTAAAAAACGATTCGAGTATCTTGGATTTTAAATAAAATGATTTTAATTCATTCCGAAGAAGTTATGCTATTTACATGGTTATCTGACAGTTCCATGTAAATGAGCTATTGACGCTGTTAAAAAAGTTCGTCTGTTAGAAGTTTTTTAAATCGGGTGCGGTGCTGTACACAACAGAAAGCGCACAGCTGTCTTCGTGACATTCATACGCATTCAAGCACACGCACACACTTAAGAACCGTTATGGAGAGTATATTTGCGCTCTCCAGTGAGAGAGTTCACGATCTGTTGACTGCTGCACGCACTATAACAAGTTGCGGCGGAAAGGGGGAGGTCAACAAGAAATATATGCTCTCCGAATTGACGTCAAGTTGTTACACACTCTTAAATGTAAATTACAAATTGACAATAAGGCGCAAAGGCTAACACGTTTTACATAAATATGTGTATGTATATGCATGTAGTTGTTGCTGGGACAGTTGCATTGTCAAGTTCAAGTAAATCAATTGCTTATATGTATATATGGCCATGCTCACACACACACTATAAGTATATGCAAATAGCCAAACAGTCTGAATGTGAAATGTTGTTCGTGGTGTGGTGAGTTCAGGTGAGTTACGATTTGGGGTGAATTGCAGTGGGGCAACGCAACAAACACCCAAATAATACCATTCATACGCTCGCACGTGTGTATATGTTTGCGCAAGTGTGTCAAGGTTAAATGCATGTGCCCCACTTTAAAAGGATTGATAGAAGACGAGGTCGATGCCGCTGCATTGACCAAGCCATATTACCTTCCCAACTCCCCCAAATCAATTGTAGACACAAGAGAGTCTAGACTGAAAAGTATTTACTCACCATAGGAACGCAGGTCGGTCACGTTCTCCAAATCCCGTTGATGCGCCTCATTTTCTAGATCCAATGGCGTGCTGTTGCTAGTTGGCATTGCATATGTTGTGGGTGGCGTAGCTGCTTTTGCTGCTGCTGCTGCCGCCGCCGCCGCTGCTGCTGCAGCCGCTGCCGCCGCATTGTTGTTGTTTTTGGGTTGCCTGCTGTTGCTAGTGGTGGGCGATTCATCGATTTCCAGGTCGCTATCCTCCTCCGTTTCTTGGTCATAATATTCGATGCATTCATTCTCGTCGCTCTCTGCATCCGAAATACATACAACATCTGCCGCAGCATTCTGGGGCGGCGTCGGTATTGTGGATATGTTATTACGGTAACTGTATTCCATTCGTGTGCTTGTTGCTGTATTGGTATTTACGTTTTGCTTCTTTTTCTTATTGTTATTATTGTTGTTGCTGTATTGCCGCCCGTTTGCGTTGCTAACATTGTTGTTCTGTTTCTTATTGTTGTTATTATTATTGTTGTTGTTGTTGTTGTGGTTGATAGCTTTGCCGTTGTTAATTTGCCGCTGCCCACTGGAGGTCCCAGAACTGCTGCTCGTCTCCACGACATTTTGCTGATGCTTCAATTTGGGATTTTTGCTGCTGACTCCGTTGGTCAAGTGCTGCAAGGGCTCATCGTCACTCTGTCGTCGTCGTTTGGTCGTCTTACTATTACCGTTCGCCGTCATTGTGTGTCCATTGACGAGCTGTGCTGAACGCATTTCACTATCGTCTAGCGGAGGTGCTGGCGGCGGTTGTTTCCGTCTGCTCTTTGCACCGCTGGTGTTGCTACTTATAATTTCGCACTGGTTGCGCTGTTGTTGTGATTGCTGTTTCTGTAGGCGACTCATTTTAAGTGACAGAATCTCTTCGGCGTATTACGCTTTACGTTGCAAGTTGTAGATGCTAATTGCAATAACTGTTTAGGGCGAGTTGCAGCAGCTGATTAACATGTCGCTTAGGAGCCGAACGGGCGAGAGGGAGCTGTAGAGTGCAATCGAAAATTATTACGCGCGCTCTCTCTTTCTCTCTCTCTCTCTTGCGAGTCTGCCAGTTAGTCAACAATATGGTACAGTTTGGACTAGAGATGAGCGCGTGTCGGCTAAATTTATTGAACAGAATTATATTTTGTTTTTATCGATATTGTAATATTTGAAAAAACCCGAGTTCACTAGATTTTAATATTTTATGAAGACCAACTCAGTATTAATTTGTATAATTGTAAAGTTATAAAGTCAATTACAATAATTGCATTTGGTCGAAGTGTGTTTAGTTTATACACAGGCACGAATGCATCACGCGCTCATCTCTAGTACAGTTTGGACACAAGCACCGACTAAAAAACTCAGAAAAAAACAACTACAACTCACCTCAGAGCAATAAAAGGCGCAAATATGTCGGCAACAACAATTTAGCACAATTATGTTTGAACACGTTTAAAGATGTTGGATGCCAGGCGTTTTATTATTTGCATATATATGTTATAAATTGCTGTATATATTTTTATTTTTTATTTAGTTTTAAACCCTTGGCTTAGATATTATTCAACCATTTGTTAATACGAATTTGTGATAATCACAAATTTCATCAATTGCGTTTTGCGCCTGCTTTTCGTATGCACTATTTTTCATTCGTTTTTTTTTTTGCTATGGGTCTTTCTTATTACGCTCGTACACACATACAAGCACGCAGGCGTTTTTCGGCTACGTTTCACGGTTGTTTTGTTTTGACTTGCAGATTCTACAGTGCAATAGGCCTGATTTATTTAAAATTCCAATTGACGACGAAATCGATTTTTGGCGGTATTAAAAAAGATTTATTTTTATTATATGTATGTATCATACGTGTGGATTTTACAAGTTTTTACCGCCGCTTTCTACTTCACATACACACACGCACATAAAACCAACACCAATGCGGCGCGACGCTCTTTGCCATCTGCTTTGCGCTCTCATTCTTTGCCACTTATTTGCTGTTGCATCGACAATAAAGCACACGTTTGTAATAATTTATTAGGTATATTTTAGCCCGCATTGTACACGAACGGCTGCAACTACATATGCATTAAAGCAAATTGTAATATTTATTTATTAACTCATTGGGTTCTTTGGTAATTTCGATAATTTCCCGACAGCGAGACCGAACACATTGAAGTTATTTATAAAATGAACTGGTATGCGCTGTTATCGATATGTGACAACGCTTAATATATATCGATGATACTTTTAGTGAATGGGGCACGATCGAGTTTTTAATAACTATTACTATAAAATGTAAAGAAAAAAAATTGTACGGGCCGCAATTGAAAGTAACCGTAATATTCTTTTACGGTTTTGGAATTAGCAAAATTAAAATAATTATCATACTCACATCGATAGATAGGGCTTGGGCTATCGGTGACCATTCACAGTAAATGATAAACAGCTGACATCCCTTACAGAAGCCATGTAATCGATAGGTTTGTGAAGCGGATCGACCAAGCCTCCACAAATTATTAAAATGTGCTCCTGAAGCTTAGTATGCATCTTAGCATTTTGCCTGATGCTTAGTATTAAAAATAGCTATGCAGTATATACTGAACAGATTCAAATTTGTTTACTGTGTTTTGAGATCTTTGGCATGAACAATTTAATATTTAACCATAATGTCTTGCAGTCCTTTTCGTTCCAAGTCTGGCACCTTGCAATTGTCTTCCGCATAACCAACAGCAAGCAAAATTAACAGTTTCTCATTCGTTGGCCTCTTGAGCAAACACCTCAAAGCAGGCCCACAATTAAGGGGAGTTGTGACTAGCGAGCAAAGTCCAGCTGCTTGAAGAGCGCACAGTAGTATCCCGGCAGCAATGGACGTTGAAATTTCATTATAATAATGCAGCTTCTTGCGTCCATCTGTTGTGGTACCGTGCGTTTGTTTAAAGATTAGAATTAGATAGGGCGCATCGGTGAGATATGGCTTGATTGCATTCGTGTGCAAGGGTCGCAGATCCGTCAACCACTGGGCATGCATGCGTGTGCTATAGTTGATCTGCTCCTCGTGCTCCACGATTTCGCGCACAGCTTGCTTCACTGCCAACTCTTCGATCACACAAAACGTCCAGGGTTCGGTGTGTGCGCCGCTGGGCGCCGTGCCGGCGGCGCGTATGCAGTCCTCTACGATATCTATTGATGGCTTAATGTTGGCGTTAAAAGCACGTACACTGCGGCGACCACGCATCAGCTCATAGAAACGCCTGCCGCCACTGGGATTAAGATTAAGGCCGGGTACAAATGGCACATGTGGCTTCTCCTCCAAGGCGGGCTGAATGCCAGAATCAGCCAGCGTGAATTCAACTGTGAAAGATTGAACTTGAATGACTTTGAATCTTACAGATAGTCTTGCATAGGAAAGCTACCCGCAACATTCTCTTCCCCCTCCAAATGTTTCCAGCTGGAAGTCCTTGATGGTCGCTTTCGATAGCTCTTGATGTATTTAATGGCCAACGCGACGAGTAAACCAAGCAGAATGCTCGGCCAATGCTTGAACAGCTTGGAGCTGCTCAGAAGTGCTTCCATCTTGGATTGCAGCTGCGGGAAGACTGTCGGGCGATAAGCGACGAAACACATCTCTTTCTTATCTAAGAAAACTTGGTCAGGGCCGATGATTGATAAGCGGGCTTAAGTGACGATTTTACCGCCTACGTGGATTGGCACAATAGGGGCAGCCTTGGGATTTAAGGTGGGCCAGCCGGGAAGGTCCGGGTTTTTTTGAATCTGGCGGTGGATCGCATTCACTTGGACTGCATGTGCATTGTGACGGATCACCCCTTTTGTGAATCATTTGACGTTTGTTTACCTCCCGCAGGATTTCAATAATGCGCCACTTGGCATCGAAGAAAATGAAGTCGGGTGCGGATTCGAGCTCCGATCTTATCAAGTCGAGCAGCATGTCCACCTGCTGGTCTCTAGGAGTTTCGGGCGTTAGGCCGCGCGGGTCTTGAGATTTTCGTGATTCCTGATTTGCCCGAGATCCTCGAGATTGGCCATTCGAACTCCCCGTATTTCGAGAGTCGTGTTTATGTTCAACACACGACATTGGGGCATCTTCACTATAGTCCGTTTGACCTGGCGCTTTAATGACTGCAATACACTTGTAGCGCGGATTTTGAACACAGGCTGCTTTACATTCATAGCTTCCTGAATTAGCTAGTTGTTCATATGCTGGACACTCACAACTTTCCTCTAGCCCAGCTTGCGAAGCACGTTTATTGTTTTCCTCTGGCTGGATCGACTGCCGCTGAGACTCAGTTGTCAAAGCTCGTTTTTGCTGATCCGCATCAACTGCCCTCAAATCGCTCTGCCGCTGTGGCTGTTGTTCCTGCGACAGGCGCCTCGGCGACTGCTGCTGCCCAGGCTGTTGTTCCTGCGGCGACCGCAGTTGCTCAGGCTGTCGATCCTGGGATAGGCGCTGCGGCGAACGCTGTTGCTCAGGCTGTTGATCCTGGGATAGGCGCTGCGGCGAACGCTGCTCCCAAGCCTGTTGCTCCTGAGATATGCGCTGCGGTGACCGCTGTTGCCCAGGCTGTTGATCCTGCGACAAGCGCTGCGGCGACCGCTGTTGCTCAGGCTGTTGATCCTGGGATAGGCGCGGCGGCTGCTGCTGTTGCCCAGGCGGTTGTTCCAGCGACACGCGCTGCGGCGACCGCTGTTGCCAAGCCTGTTCTGGCGGCTGCTGAATTCTCTGCTGCTCTAGCGTCAATGGCTGCTGTTGCGCTTCCGGCCCTGATTGTTCCTGTACCGGCTGCTCTCCTTTGCGCCAGGGCTTAAAAAACATTGGGTTCGAGCTCATGTTGTCCGGTTGCCCACCGTTTTTCGTTTTCGTTTTAAAGAATTGCATGCCAGACGCAGGCGTAGCATTAACAATGTATTTATTTCTAATACAGCTCAAGCCCATCGGATTCCAGGCTTTGCTAGAAGAGGTGCGTATTTTGCTGGGCCCACAGCCGGCTGTTTGCCCATCAGAGTCTATCGACTGTTCAGATCGCAGTGCTTCGTCGATTTCGTCAAAGTTGATATTTATAAAGGGCACCAGAAACAGAAACTCATTGTAGTATTTAATCGAAGGCGTCAAAATTTCTCCATACCGACGACGCGCATTCTCAATGATGGCATATTCACGTTCAAAGGACAGGCGCAGTCCCTGCAGGCAAGCTTGGATTTGTGGACCTGTTTGGCTTGGGAACGAGCGCGCCATGTCTGAAAAGTAAATATTTTCAATTTGCTTATTGCCATATTGAGGGTTCTTCGGATTGTACAGATTCTCGTATGTCGAATATAGACTTATCAGCTTGCGTATATCAGCGTCCTCGAGAGGTGTTTCTATTTGATCCGTGCGCTTCTTATTTGACTGAACTGTGGATTTGTTTCCAGAGATAAATGGAAAGAATTTTCGGAAGCCGCGAAGATTCTTTGGCTTATGGTTTGGAGTATCATTGGTTTCTTCCACAATGTAATCTTTAGCTGCGTTGTCCTTGAACCCTGATCCTTCCTTATCGGAGCTCATCGTTGGTGAGATATCGCGTGCCTTCAACGTCGGATCGGAACACTTGAAATAGCTGAGATTGTGTCTCTGTTCCGTTCTCAGCAATTTGACGCTTCAGCAGGTAGAATTTGGAGTTGGCGTGAAGATAGGGAACAAAATCATTCAAGGGCAGCAGCATTATTACTGTTTTAAATTTTGTAACATTCTAAAAGAACAAAAAACACAAATTTGAATCGTTTGAAATGATTTTGACGACGCACGTACTTAAGCTTATCGACTTTTACTTCAATGCAACCCTAATCAATTTTTTGCCATAACATTTTTCAGCACTGTAAAAATCAAATGACAAAAAATCTAGTTTTATCTTACATGAAAAAAACAGCATTGTAACAAGCCAATAATATTTGAAATGTTTTGCACTACAAATTCAATAACAGTTGTTGCTCATGACTTTAACATTAACAAATTCGAATTTTATTGATCACTGTTAGGTGCACTGTTAAGTAACAGCTGTCTGTCGTCCGATTCTGTAAACTGGCCATGGGGCAACAACAAAGCAACAAAAACAAGTTACGTGAAATATAAATGGAATAATAGACAAATAAGTAAATGGCATGGCCAGCCGTGTGATGATTACAGAAGCACAGAATTTGTTCTAGTCGGACACACAGCGTCAATTAAAGCTGTCATTTAATTGAAACTCAGAGCAGGCTATGCAATTGGCATTGGGAAATTGGCATGTGACGTTTCTCGTACCAAAACTTGCTGTCAAAACCCGCCGGGGTGCTAATTATAAGTTATAGTTCCAGTTTTGATTTCTCAGTTTCGGCATATTATGAAAAATATAAATGAACGTATTTACATACGCAATAAATGCTCGGCAATTCAGCAAACTAGTGAAGACTAAATATAACGTGTACACTCACACACTCACAAACACATTCATACACACATGAAAAGTGCAATAAATCAATGCCCAGCAGTGTGAAGGCGGAAGTGAGCAAAACAGAAACAACAACAAAGACCAGAAGACTGAGCAGCCGTAACGGGATATTGGCGCAAGCAACAAAAGAATTTTACATTACATTACGCGTTGGTTTATTACATTTAACAACCCAAAATGGATGAAGTTTTTTCACTGCACATGGAAAAGCTCGATGTCTATGACGGTTAGTAGAGGGGAATTGCTTAAAAATATGAAAATAGTATTAGATATATTAAGAACAATTGCTCGTTAGTCATTTTGGTTTGATGTCATCGTCGTCTTCGTCGTCCGTGGATTTATTTAATATCTCGTCAATGAGGCGATCCTGTTCTTCATTCTTTTTGCCTTGTACTATCATTTCCCGCAGTGTTTTAATGTGCTGCTTCTCGGAATCAATTTTTGCCCGAAGTTTTAAGTTCTCATTTTTTAAATTGTCGATTCGCAATTTGCGTTCTTCGGCGGTTTTTTTCGTCTTTTCACGCGTTCGCTGTACTGCCTATAAGAATAAAGAAACACACAGTTAATATTTTTGGAAATGCTATTTTAGGGGGTCGCTCATCTAGGCTAGCAACATTGTCGATCATTTTATTTACATTTACCTCGTTATTCTTCTGTCTTTTCAACTTGTACGCGGGATCTTCTGTCTGTGGACTGGTTTCCGTGCTGCCGCTGCTTGTGGACGGTGTTGCAGTCCTTCTCCTGGCTGGCATTCTCTCGGTGATAATATTAATTTGTATTTAGTTTTATGTCGTTTCCTTTTACCAGCTGAAAAATGTAGCCAGCAAACAAACACAAGTCGTTGTGAAATTACAACGCGAATGATGTACCAAAGCGTAATTGTAAAACATATGTGCCCTCTTGGAGCAAGTGTTGTAAAGCGACAGCAGTCATTGCCCATGAGAACAAATAGAGATGCGGTATTATACAATTAATTAATCGACTTCAGTAATCTGTAGAAAAACTACAATTTTAACACGATTATCTAAAATAGTTAATTACATTTATTCTTACGTCCCTGAAACATGTATGGTTTTGCTCACAATTTGGTATTATTTTTGCCGATATAAAAACTATGTTAATATAATTTGTTTGTAAAGACTGATTTCTTGTATGTAGTTGAATAAGATAATAAACTTGAACGCAATAAATTTTAAAGCAAATGCAAAAATGTAATACGTATATATAAATAAATGTTTAAAAACCCAACTCGCGCCTATTCTATTGGGGTTAAATTCACATATCGATAACACACGATAATGTGGCAGTTTTGCAACACTTGCAATTATTTTTTTGCTACCGGCTTGGAAAATGTCTTCGCCTGCACCACCAAAGTCGCCTGAATTATCAGATAAAAGCAAAAAATATGATAGGCAAATCAGGTAATTATGTTTATACTCTTAAACATTGTGATTGGCCTAACATGACCCCAACAGGCTGTGGGGTGACCACGGACAGACATTGCTGGAGACGGCCACAATTTGCCTGGTCAATGTGACAGCTGTAGGCTGTGAGGTAGCAAAGGGACTTGTGCTGCCGGGCATTGGAGGCTTTACCGTGGCTGATGGCAGCACTGTTAAGGAGGAGGATTTGGGCAACAAGTATGTCGGCAACAAAATATGTTCTGTTCAATTGTACTGACTAAAAGCTGGAGAATAGTTTTTTTCTAGATTATAGCTACCTGGGTAAATCGAAGGCACTTGCTTGCAAACAGCTGTTGCAGGAGCTCAATCCGGATGCCAATGGTGATTATGTAGATGAGAGCATTGACTATATCTTGGAAAATCGGGCGAATTTCTTTGAGAGCTTCGACCTGGTGATTGCTTCAAATCTGAACGAGCAGTCACTACTGCAGCTGTCTAACCGCTTGTGGGAGTCCAATGTGCCGTTTGTATATTGTCGTTCCCTGGGTATGCTGGGGTCCATACGCCTACAACTGAGGGAGCACTGCATTGTAGAAGCTCATCCCGATAATCGTCAGTTTGATTTGCGCCTGGAGCAACCATTTGAGGCATTGCGCGACCACTTAGAGAGCACAGAGGTGACAAACAAGGTGCCCTGGTTATTGGTGCTTTATAAATTCCTGAAAGCTTGGCAGACTGAGCATGGAGCTGGGCGACAGGCGCCTGGCAACTATAAGGAAAAAACACAGTTGCGTGAGGCAATTGGAGCAGCAATGCAAAAGGATGAAGAAAACTACGAAGAGGCTATAAAGGCGGTTAACACTGCATTTGGCGCTGGCCTGGTGCCAAGCTCACTCAAGGCCATATTCGAGGACGATGCCTGTGAGCAATTGCACAAAAAGGTGAGGCGCCCAGTCTGAATGCTCCGTAACTCATACAACAATTTTCCATTTGCAACAGAGCGATGTCTTCTGGATTATGGCCAAGGCACTAAAGCACTTTGTGGTGGAGGAAAATAAGGGTTATCTGCCGCTGCCGGGCGTCCTGCCCGATATGACAGCGAATACGGACTCGTACATAGCACTGCAGCACATCTATCGCCAACAGGCTTTGCACGATGCCGATCAGGTGTACCACAAATGTCAAGAATATCTCAAGCAATTGTCGCTGCCGGCGGACAGCATAGACGAGCGCACTGTGCGTTTGCTGTGTCGTGAGGCTGCCGGTCTGTCGGTGCAACGTGGCACACGCATCGCCGATGAGTACGAGAAGAACTGTCGCCTGCTACCTCTGGGTAAGTGCCTCCTAAGTGAAAGATCGAAATTGCAATATTTACCTGTAAAACCGATTTGTAGTGGACGACAATGAGCTGCAGGGCAATTTAACCGTCTACTATTTCGCTCTGCGTGCCTATGAGCGTTTCCTAAGCGAGTGCGGCAGCATTCCCGGTGAGTGCACTGTAGAACAGGATATTGGACGTCTGAAGACCATCACCAGCAAAATGTTGAACGACTTGGGCCTGCATGTGGCCATCAGCGACGATGTGCTGCACGAGATATGCCGCTACGGCGGCGCCGAGCTGCATGCTGTGTCTGCGTTTATTGGTAACTATATACTATGGTTATGTCATGGCGTAAGTGTATGTATATGGATCAATTTATTTTGATTGCAGGAGGTTGTGCTGCGCAGGAGGTGATCAAGATTATTACCAAACAATACAAACCAATTGATAATACATTTATCTATAATGCTATAAGCACTGAAAGTGTTACGTTAAAGTTGTAAATGAATTCCTTATAATACAATTATACGAAATGGTTAAGATTCTTGAAGCTTTCAAAAACTTACCGAATCTGATTAAACAGTAAAACAATACATTAACAATAGTGTCACATTTCGTAAAGGGGAACTTGCTCTGATCATTTTGTAGTTTTATATTTATTAATCATATCTCTGCTTATGCTCTAGATATTGTAAGCGTTCGATTACGCATGTTTATGCTGTGGTATTCTTGCAATAGTACTGTGTGTATACCTCGGTGTTGGGACTTATATTGTAAGTTCTATTTTGTTTATAAAAGCCCAGCACAGATTCTTTTGCTCATATGTTATCTTACATTCCTGTATTAAATTGTGTTCTTTTAATTCTCATATGCGGGTTCCTTCATTGTTTGTATAGAAATTCGTTGGCATCATTTGCGCCAAACGCAAATATTTGACTTATATTAATTTAATTAAGATTATGTGTGCTTTTACATGTACAAATAGATGCTAACGAATATCAAACGAATAGACAGTACATTATATGATTTAAATAGGCATTTACTTACAGTACACTTGCTTATAACAACAATTCAGTTTAGTTTTCTTTTTTTTTTTTTTGAACTTATTTCGTTTTAATTTTAACTTAGTTTTTAGTTATTTCTAATAACTTCCCGCTATGTGTCTATTCCATAATCTTTACAATTAATTAACAAAAATGTACACAAGAAGACTACCAGGAGAACAATTTATGCCTATTTCATATTTTTTCATATATATAATATATAAAATTAGGCGTTTGGTGTTCAGTTTGTTAACTTTACCTGTATGTAAACACGTTCTTACTGGCGGTCCACCGAAGCAGCAGCAGGAAACATAGTCCGATTATATATTGCCAAGTGGCATGTGCCGCCCCTGCACCACCATGATGCAGCTCAGCAAAACTTTCACCTAACCGAACGATATGTGATTAACAATATTGTATATTTGATGGAAAGGTTTAGTTTACCATTTAGTATATGCACCACTATCGTAAAATTTTGATACTCGCTTATGGAGCAGGTATAGTTCCCGGAATCAGCTTTGTGAATTTTCGCAATGGACAAAGTGGAATTCGCACCATCTTCCATCAGTTCAGTTTTAACACTAGCATTCAAATAAATCGGAAAAATATTGAATCAAGAAAGAGTTCATCTTGTAAGGGTTTAGCATAGTTTTACCTTACACCACCTCGTGTTACATCATAATTGAGTACATTTTCGCTGTGCTTCCAGAAAACAACGGAGCTTGTCATAGCCACATTTCGCACCACACAGGACAGCTGCAGCGTGGAATCAATTTCATAGTATTTCTCCTGCAAGGGATCCCCGTATTCATCCACAATCATCACCTTTGGCGCTGTGCGTTGAGGAAGATGCGTAATTAGTTTTATTAATTCGAAAGTAGATTTCAAGAACTTCCTACCATTTACATGCAAGTTAATTTGTATAACGCGGGGCGGATGCGTTGAGATCTGGCATTCGTATGTCGCCTCATCGTCCTTTTTAACATTTATAATTTTCAGTCGCCAGTTGTTGGGATACTGAAATTCCATTTTATAGCGCTTATCACCTGTGTAGGCGTGCAGGCCAACAGTCAGTAAATCCAATGCGTTCTCCTCATTTTGCGCACTACGACGCACCCAGGAGACCTGTCAATAATAACAACAATAATACAGAGCTTTCTCAAATGTTTCTATAGTCAAGCTCTCATCTTTTTTTTCACTTTCACTTTCACTCTCTCTCTATCTCTACTTCTCTCTCTCTATTTCTCGTCTTTTGCAGTAATGTTATTCTCTTAGCCGCAGTCGCTTTAACTAATACGCTTACGGGAATAATTAATTAATTAATTAATTTAATTAGTTTCTATGAAAATCGTATAGAAAGGCGATATTTTGTAATGAGTAAATCAAATATACTATGATTCGTTCTCCTTGATTTATTTGCTCTTTCTCTTTGACTCATTGGCACATCCATAATTTTTTACTCAACTTGCTTTCCCCGCCCGATGTCTCTCTGTCTCTTTCACTCCCTCTCTCTCTCATTCACTCTGTCTTTTTCTCTCTCACTCTCTCTCTTTCCTTTCACTTTTTATTACTCTCTCTTTATAGCCCAGATCGAGTCACACTTCCCGGTCATTTTCTCTTCAATTTACCGCTGGTTCTTTACCAGCCCCTCTTACTTGCTCTCTCTCTCGCTATCTCTCTCTCACACTTATCTTTTAAATATCGCCCTTCTATTCGATTTTCATAAATTTAAATTTGTTTATAAAGATATGTGATAGATTGTTGCATTGTTCGATCCGACTCTCACATAGTCCAACATATTAAGTGAATAGTCATAAATCTATAAATGTGTAGCTCTCCCATATTAGCTATACTTCAGGGCTTTGTTTTTTTAAAGCTAGGCACAAACGAGCTTACACTAAGTATGAATGCTTACAGTCTTATCTTGGAGCAATGAAATTCTGCAATTTAAATGAATGCTGCTGCCCGCCTGTACAGTCATATTTGTGGGTTGTCCGACACGCTGCACGTCCTCAAAATGGGGGCCATATCTGTAAGAAAAGTGAGCCATATGTGATGTAAGTAAAATGTGCGCAGACACACAAACATATATATATATAAAAGAGACCGATGTGGTTATGGTATGCATTTTTATTGGTCAGCAGGTGTATGCAGGTAAGCCTAGGCTCACACACACACACAGAATACCATGCCCGGAGTTTGTGTGCCCTTATGCTTAATGTTTATTGCTTGTAGCAAAAGTCTTAAAAACTTGAGTTTTAAGCACGTTTTACACAGCAAGGACCTTCGGTAAACTGTTTTTATTGCCGCTTGTCGGGACTAAGCATATCTTTTTTTTCAGTGTAAGTTTCACAAGCTTGCCGGCGAACTGTTCTCTGTTCTCTGAATTCGATTTACAGTCCAACTATTATGCAAATTATAGATTTGTTGTGTAATTGCAAGCTAAGGAGTACTTTAACCTCAATGGCAAAATGCTATAACTTACACTTTATTAATGAGGACAGTGCTATTAGTTTTTTTTCCTGGTTTTTATTATTTATACGAATTGCATTGAAACTGAGCAAAGTGCTAAGAGGAGCTGGGCGTGGCATTAAGAGCCTGAGTTAATCAATATTTCATGCTCACAATTCAACAGAAATTTCGAAAAAATGTAGAACTCGGAAAAAACGACGTTCTTGGAACAAGTTTATTCGGACTTCATTAAAATATATATTGGCTCTAATTAAGGACTCAATTTATTATATTTTAAGATTGAAAAGAGAATTATTTTATTTATTTATAAAAATTTACTCGATACGAAAATTTAAAAAAAAATTCCAATATCTGAAATAGGGTTCATTCTGTGCATAGTTTAAAAATATTAAAACTTAACCCGAAACGGAAATCTGAGATACTTTCCAGGATCTGAAATTTCATTTTATTCATAGTTTTGACAGAAAATCTAAAATTCTTCTCTGATGATACATACAAAATAATAGTATTTAGAAAATACAAAAAAAATCTATATACCGTTTAAAAAGTATCTTGTAATGAGTTTAGCGAGGCTTAAAACCCAAGATAAATTAAATAAAATATTAAGATTTTTGTGTCCCAACTAAGGAAGTATGATCGTAATTGAATCAAGTAAGCTCCTACTTTGGGAAAAAGGTTTACTTTATTTAAGAGATTCGCAAGATTCCTGACTTGTATTTCTCTCCGTGCGCAGTTTAGGGTCAGGCTTAAATGTAATAAGTAGTATGTAAGGTAAAGAGAAAGAAATCTTTTAGCTAAACCAACCTTTGATCGTGATGATGATGTTTGTTAGCCGCCGAGAAGGTATCGAAGATATAGTTGAGCATGGGTGCATCGGTTTTCTGCTGCTTGGGCAGAATATATTTGCTTTCCACCTTCTTGGCCGAGGTGCGCACAGGAGACTTATCCGCTCCGCTCGCAGTCGATGGGGTTGGCATTGCCAGGGAGCCATTGCCAGCGACCTGTTGGCCGCTGGAGCCCTCAGTGCTGGCCATTGTGGTCGCTGGCACATTTCCATTGACGCGTTGCGAGCCAATTTGTTGAAATGTGCCACCAGCTGCGGCGCCACCGAAGCTGATGGAGTTTTTCAGACTTGATGCGCTCTTCTCGCGTTGCACAGCGGCTGCTGGTGCTCGTGATGTTGATGTTTGATACGAACTAAGCTGCGATAAGGACAATAAATCTTGTGTTTTTGCATTCATTAGTTGTCTGCCATTGGCTGTGGCGGCCGGCGCGGCAGACGTTGCTTTTGGCGCTCTTCTCTCATTTTTCTCGTTCGTTATATTGTGCCACTGGCCCTGGCCCCGCTCCTGCTCCTGCCCCTCTTCCTGCTCCATGGCAATGATGTAATCATTGGCCGACTTCTGAACGTCATCGGCATCAGCATCCGCATCCGCATCAAAGGCAGCAGCTGCTCCTGCTCCCGCAGCGGCATAGGAATTATCGATTTCATTGGAATCTATGTCGCATTATGAAAGACAAGACAACATTGAGTTTAAGGTCATTTGGCGAGCTAGTAAAAGGAAAGTAAGCCATGTCCTTTGATACCCTAAGAAAGGAGAGCCAATTGAAGAGCCCATTGAAGAACTTAACTCTGGAGCTACGACGCTCTTGAATAACCATGTTCAACCTGATTTATCCTAAAGAAACATTTTAGATTGGGATCCTTTTGAATACACCTTTTGTTATGAGAACTATCGCTCCAAGCTTGAGTCTTCTTCTTAAGGATTCATAGTTGAGTACTCGTATTTGTTGCTATACGATCTAGTTAAATTTTATGATACTTGGAATTACTCTATAATACATCTGCCATCATTTTGATGGTCCTATGAATGTTTTTACTTAATGCTTGTACAAGATTTCGACCTACTTCTTTGACAAAGCGGGCATATTTATATCCTTGGCAATTTGAGCTGCCAGGGTATTTAGTTTTTGTCACGCCCACGCATATCTTTGTTTCTTTCTTGAAACTGAGACTTGATTAATATGTTGCAATCAAGTTTCAACATTTCTCTGCGGCGGGGGTCAACTGTGCTCGTGTTAGGTTAAAGCTGCCAACGATTTTTGCTCAAAAAAAGTAAGGAAAGAAAGTATCGCAAGCTTTTCCAAAAATTACTTTAGATTAATGAGTCTATAAATAACATGGTTCACGTCAATGATCTTACTTATTTTTTATTTATTGCTTGTGTTTAGCACATAAAAGCCCAGAAAAGTGCAAGGAGTTGGAAAGATTTTTGCCAAGCTGTTTTGCTAACAAGCAAGAAAAATGCTTAATTTTCCATCAAATATATTTGCTTGCGATATGAGAGAGAGGGAGAGAGAGAGAGAGAGAAAAGTGCATGGGAAAAGTTGGACTTTCAATTGACAAGGATCTGGACTTAATTACAGGAAAGTAAGCTCAAGGTCGTCGAAACACAGCAAAAGCTGGGCATGGCTGGGTGATTGGGCGTTTGGGTTGGGTTGGGTTCAGTTTAGATAGCACGCATTCTGGATAACCGCACAATTGACTACCCGTTACTTACCATGGCTAACACGTAACGTTGTGGCCAACTGCATGTGCTGCTGCTGCTGCTGCTGCTGCTGTGTGCGTGTGTGCGTGTGTGTGGGTGTGGCTGTGTCCGTGGTAAATTGAAATCCTACGGATGTCATTGTTGTTGCCGCTGGCAATTTGGCAACTGCAGCTGCCTCGGCGCTTGCTGCAGCTGCAGCCAGCATTGAGGAGTCGTAGTCCGCTAGCGGCTGCCCCTCCTCCAGCTGGCGACCACGAAGCGCGTCCATGCTGGCCACAGAGTGCGCCTCTGCCTGGAGCGAACCGCGGCCCATGGCGCTAGCGGTGCACACGATTGTTGTTGTTAGTATAAATAATTGTATTAAATTGCAAATAAAACATTCAGTTCGGCGTGTTGCAGGCTTTGTTCTTGTTGTTGTTGTTGCTGTTGTTCTTGTTGTTGTTGTTGCTGCGGTTGAAGCTTGAAGCGTTTGTTTCGTTTTGGTTTTAATGCGTGTTGCTGCTGCTGTTGTTGTTGTTGTTGCTGTTGTTGTTGTTGCACTTAAACGCATTTTGTATTCGTGAATTCCTGCGTGGAATTTGGCTTAACTAAAACACATTTCACAAACTGCATTTGAGCTGGTTTCCACACACTGACCCCAGTCGCTTGTTGCCACTTATAAAAACAGTTATTGTTTTTAATATTTGTTGGCTTATTTTTTTCTCATTTGCATTTGTTGTTGTTGCTGCTGTTGCTAAAACATGGTTAAATAATATTTGGTTTATTGATAATTGATATTGGTTAGTAATTTTGTTTTTGCAAGGGCTTTTGCGCGCACTCTAATTAAATTAAATCAGTCCGATTTTAAATATTCATTTTAATATTTGCTAAATGGTTGATTGTTTCATATTTAATGCAATTGCACGTTTTACATATTTTTCCCTCTCACTGCCCAATAAAATGCCATGCATAATTGAATTGGCTAAGCCTGTAATTATTTAGAAATACAAAATATTTCCAATGAATGAATACGGCTTAAGCTGGCCAAAGAAGGCGTTGGTTGGGTCTATGATATTTGTGTTTTGTATTTGGCCCAAATAACTTTTGCAGTTAGCAGAGACAGACATGTGTTCGACTTGCCGTGACAGCCAAAGCCTTTTGGCCATAAACTAAATTTTGTGCTGGGCTTTTGCTTTTATGCTGCAAATGCCTTTCAGCCTTTCATGCCATAAACATGTATTTATTTACATATGTGTGTGTGTGTGTGTGTGTGGGGCTCACATTACGGGCGCAGCATAAAGGCAAAACACCTGTACAATATATATTGACAGGCCTAGGCATTGCATGTTTGCTGTTTTTTACGTTTTGTTTTCTGTTTTTTTTTTTTTTCTATTTGCAGCTGCATTCATAACAAATTCTCATAAATACGGATATGCTGATTTATAAAAGTCAGAGCACACAAGGCAGCTGTCCATTCAAACGCACATCAAGCCGCGCGGGTTTTTCGACTGTGCCATAAAAATAAAAATGTAAATTAGCGCAAAATGGTTTTTGGGCAAAAAAAAAAAAAAAATAATAAAATATGTTACAGCTATTCAAGGGCTTTTTGGCTTTACAGCCCGATATCCGTGCCACATTGAATTGTTTTAATTTCGCATTCGTATTTCCCATACAAACAAAGCTACGCACACGTACACGCACACTCAGATATTGTATCTTAGAGATACAATTTCGCAGGGGGTCCGCGAACTTTTCTTGAGGGCATAAAACCGCGACAGCAAATCCCATTTATGAGCTAGGCCCAGTTTATTTATTTTATTTATTTTTTGTTTTTATTTCGATTCTTTGTGATTTTCTTAAAGCGCTTTCAGCTTTGGCTAAATTTTGTCCCGAACTTGGCATAAATATTTATTTTGTCTAACTTGGCACAGAACGCATCTAAACTAGTTTCACTTCACAGCCAGAATTTGTTATTATTATTTTTGTTGTTTTATTACAATTTCATGGCATGCACAAAAAATTAGCATTTCCTTTGCAATGGAGACCACACACACACACACACACACAATCAGAGCCAAACTTTTTTGAATATGAAATCTAAATAGTTGCGACTTCACGTTGTGTCTTACACGCAAGTTTGGCCATCTACATGCGCCTCGACGAGATTCGCGAATACGCCAGACACGTTCAGCCGGGTGCGCCTTTTGGGTAAAACGTCAACACGCCGTTACACTTCGTTTATGACTGTCCATCTGAAGGCAGCCAAATCAGTGGATTGTTGAATTTGAATTGTTGTTGACTTGCCGAACTCGTCAAAGCTGCGAAATCTCTGTCTCGTTAACCGAGCTTCGGCTCTTGCTCGGGGTAATGCGGAGCGGCCAACGTTGCTTTCGTTAAGTTTGTTGAATTTGCCGCGCGTGTTGAGTTCATTTACTCCGAATTTGTTAGGGGTTGTGTGGTGAGAAAGTTAGGCATAAATTTGGTAAAGCAGTGCATTTTAGGGGGATTGTTCTTGAAGTTTTTGAGATTCATTAGACTTAATTTTTAATTGTTTTTCTGATTTTTCATTATTTGGCATTCTCAAATGCACTCTATCTCCCTCTCTTTCTCTCTATCTTAAATTATAGCTCTTTAGAGCCAGGTCTAACCTTCGAAGCTATGCAAAATGACAGATTTCTTTCTTCAGTACCTTCTTCAGTTGAATTTTAAAATTAAATTTCCTGCAATAATATATAAACGACACATATTTTGCTAAATAGTTCGTTATTTATAATGGACTATTTTAAATAAGTCCTTTACGCAGTATACTTACTCTGTTATACAGAGGCAACTTGTATGTTCGACAAGAACACTTATACGTATAATAGTATAACAGCGCGTAGTCAACCAGAGATGGCGCCACCTGCAGCATTAAACAGTTTTATGCCAATGCTCAGCTTGCTCTCTCTTTCTCAGCGTGCGCTCTCTTTATACCAATCTCTCCATCTGCTACTGTTGTGGCTGTTGTGTTATCAGAAACGCTTGGATGCTGGTCGGGTGCAGACGTCCTTCAGCCTTGACAGAGTTATAATCGAGTGCTAGAATAAATTGCTGCAACTAGCTTAAAGTGCGGAAAACGTCTCGGCTGAATGAAAAAATTTTAAGTTTTCCTTATAATATACATACACAACCTGAGTAACGTGCTAAGAATAAAACAATAAGGATATTGGCCAGTTTTTTTTTGACAATCAAGATAAAGCAGCCACCACGCACAGGAGAATTGAAGCGTTCTAATGAATACCTAAGTATACACACACACACATCTACACATACCTACACACTTACATACATACTTATATACATAAACGTGAAAAGAATAGTTGTTTTAGGTCAAACAAAAGCCAAAGCGAACAAAAAACGAAAAAAAATCGAACATTACGGATAACTCAAGAGAGCGCGAACAAAGGCCAAAAATAATGAAAATCAATTGGAAAAACCTTTAAAGCCAGCCTGAGAACATTAAGGATCAACTTAATCTGAGAAGCGTACGTAATTAATTATGCATGCTGTGCGTGTGTGTGTGTGTGTGTGTTAATTATTCTCAAATGATTGTTATATAAAAGAACGTGTGTCTGGAAAAACTTGGCACTGGTTCTAGGCGCTACTCACACGTCTCCTTTAATTTGCAGGTGTCTGCACACCTGAAAAGCTCTTGTTATCAGATCCTTCAGCTCGCCTCCCGCCTCCAGTTGGGATTTGTGCTAATTGTTCGCCGTGTGTGGGGTGCTCTCCCCCACAAGTGGCTGCTGCAGCTACACTTGCCACTGACATTGTTGTTCCTCTTGCTGTTGTTGAGGATTGTTGTGTGCACAATTAGTTCTGTGTGTGCATACACACACCCAGCCGCAGCGGCTACTTGAACTGGGCGCTGTCTTAACAGCCCCGAGTCACGCACAGATGACCTTCCCATGCAAGACACAAACAACAGGTGGATGTGGCGAGCTCTTAACAACTATTGTTACTTATTGGTAGCTGTCCTGGGTCTAGGGTCGTCAGCATTTTGGCTGGCAGCGAGTATTCTAATTAGTAATTGTTTAAGTTAAGGTATTAATGCCCATAAAAAGTGCCAAAACATCCAACTGTATCACCCTGCTCATCTGGGCTCTCGTAGAACAGCTGCAAGTCAAGTCAGGAAAAACTTAAAGGGTATCTTCTAGTCGATCATTCACTATTCGAGCACTTTAACTTGTAAACAGAAAACTTGTAGTTTAGGTCTAGTATGTTAACTTAAGCTATATTAACTTTATATAAAGTCAAAGTCTGCCAACTTGAAGAAAATTATGAATTGTTCTTATACTTGAACTAAGTTTAGCTCAAGTATTTTTTTATGTGAGTAGAAAGCTAAGATATGTAATCGTAATATAATAATTAATATTATCTTTAAGCTTTAGCTAATTTTTCCAAATAAACCATTCTCATAGATCTCCTGTCGTCTTTCATATCGTTCTCTTAAGGCTTTAATTATAATCAAGTTAAAATTTAAATATTAAATATAACTATAAACATTTTCCATACTCGCCTTGACTTTTTATAAGATAACTTGCAGTCTTTTATGTCGTGTCCTTTGACAACAAAGAACTGATTGTCCCATTCAGAGACAGTTGCCTGGCTTTCTAATGGTGCCTTTTGTTTGTCCTGCAGCACATCCGTTGATGAGCAGCTCGTTGGCTATAAATACACCGCAGAGCGAGACGTCAATGTGGTTGTAATGCCGTCACGTCGCAGCGGTGGTGTTGGCACCACACGGCGCAAGCACTCGGTGGGCAATCTGCGACGGGCACATCCGGCCTCCGGTGCCACATGGAATGTGCAGGTGGTGCGCGGCAAGATGTCCTCGAAATGCTTGTGGCACGCGTGCCGGGCGCTAATATTGGGCCTGGCCCTCATGATGGTGGGCGCTGGCATGGCCACGCTGGGCTACTATGCGGATCATCTGTCCATGGGCTCCGAGCTGCGTGGCAATGTTACGGTGCGTGTCAAGAACGATCTGAAGGGCTTCCATTTGAACAATTTCGCATATGTGGGACCCATTGTCATGGGTTTCGGCGGCTTCATTGTGGTCGCCTCCTGTGTGATGACCTTCGAGGCACGCGACTCTGCAGCCAAGGTGGTGCCGGCGCGTCTACGTGCTGGCGGCGGCAGCTGCAACAAAACGACAGCGCGCAGCAATCAAGGCAGCTCCGCCTCGCAGCGCCGTGGCATGGGTAAGTCATAGACTTGGCATTGGAGGGGGTCGCCTTTGCTCACTGCTGCTCCCGTTCTGTACAGGTGCTCAGTATCAGACGACGCGCTGGGATCAGCATTTTGGCGTCTTCCGCTCATCACCCGGCGATCCACATCAGCAGCTGCAGGCGGTGGCTGGTGCGGCTGGCGCCGGTCAGCAGCAGGCGCAGCCTTTTGATCGCGAGGCCCTCACCGCGGAGCTCATCAACTTCTCCAAGTCACTCAGGTACTTTTGCTATGTCCTAATTAGAGCACACTGAATCCACATAAGCATCACATACTCTGTAAATTTGTATATGAAATATTGGCTGCCTCATGCTGTCTCTTTCTCTCTCTCTGACGCTCTCATGCATTATCTTTCTCATGACTGCTTTGCATCTGCCATTAGCGCATCCACACGCTTCTCGCCACAGCTGCGCCGTCTCACCTTCACTGGTTCCGTGCCCAATCTGTCTACCATCCATGCAAACGCTCATCCAACCGCCTGCATCGACACTAATCACTCCAATCTGTTCTTGCCGCATCCCAAAATGCCGCTGGAACTTCTACAACAACAACAACAACAACAACAACAACTGTGCTGTAAACGGCATCACCATCATCGCCATCACCAACACAAACAACGCAAACAACAAACGTCCACCTCGAGCAGCAGCGTCCGGCGCGTGCGTCAAACGCGCACAGCTACCGCCCCCGGCGGCGGCAGTGGCGGCGGCGGTTTCGGCTCCGGCGGCTCGAATGCACGCCTCATCAGCAACTCATCCAGTTTGATACAGCGCGCTACCAGGGAGTATGCCGCATGCACTTTGCTGCAGCCGCCGGCAGCGAGCCGCGTTTACTGGCAAGCCTCGTCCTTTGATGCCGGCATAGGCGCAGGCTCAACTCACGGCTCTGCTGGCGGCGAAAAGCGCGCTGAGCGCAACAAACGCTCCGATACAGCCAAACGTCACGTGCTGGCACGTCAGCGACCCATCGAGCATGAGGAGGCCGCAGCGGCGGCGGCGGCAGCTGCCCGTGATCGGGATCGTTGCAGCCCGCTGGGACACAGGCGGTAAGTGCGGTTCCCAACACTGAGCTTAAAGCTGTACATGCTTACCACCACTGCATAATAGTTAATAATTTTGAAAACTTCTGAAAGCACATGAAAGCTTTAGTTCAGCTCAAAGCCAAACTGACAATGTGATGCTGCTTTTCCTCCTTTCATTTAGACCTTAGGTGCGGTTACAAATACTAGCTTAAAGGGCGACTTACATACAATACTAATGCTAACAAGCACTGCAGGTTGTTAAAAGTGTTTGAGGAAAATCAAAACTTTAGTTCAACTAAAAGCTTAACTAACAACTAAATGCTGTTATTGGTCTTCAGTGCGGTTACGAGATTTCAAGTTGCAGTTAAAAAAGCACAGGAAAGTTCAGCTCCAATTACAATTAGCTGTTCTTCATCTCGCACAAGTTAAGAGCGCGGCTATCGACACTAGCTTAAAAAGCGACATGCATACAAATGCTCATGCTAAGCTCATTGTTAAGCACATTAAAGCCTTATTTCAGCTAAAAGCTGTTGTTTATCTCTCGCTCTAACCAGTTGCGAGTTGCATAAAGCTTTCACAAAAGCTTTCTTAAATGCAAAGCACATTTTCCACCAACTTGTATGCATTTTCAACCTATTTTCAGCAACTCAACCATGTCAGACTCGTCGTATAGCGGCCGCTGGACGGCGCGTTGTGCTTCGGTAGCGAGTCGCACCTCGAGCATTGATTCACGGCGCATCCAGGTGGATCTGCACAGTCCGGAAGTGATGCCCAAGTCAATATTGCGCTCGCCCAAACGCTACAGTTCCGGCCCCTCGGCGACGCCATCAGTTGAGAAGGAGTTCCGGTAAGCGTGCCGCATTATCACATTCACAGCACAAATGATTTACAAATTGTCAAACTGTGTGCTTTACAGCAGCCAATTGTCGGTATGCTCAGAACCGCCTCCACCCGTGCGTCAGCTGTCGGGACAGTCAAGCATGGAGCCAGCTGTGCCGGAGGAGAGTGTGGAGCTAATCGACGAGCGTGTTGCGATTGAGTGCCACAGCAACAGCGAGTGCAATGTGGCCTACAGCGAGATCAGTGAGCTGGTGCATCACACGCACAGCCTGCCGCCTAAGAAACAGCGTCCCGACTTTCTGCCGCTGGGCGGCAGCGCAGATCAGCCGCAGCAGCAGAAACAGCAACAGCAACAGCAACAGCAGCAACAACAGCAACAACAACAACAACAACAAGAGCAGCAACTGCAGCGGGAGCGGGAACGGGAGCAGAAGACGACACTCTATAGAAGCAACAGTTCCAGGCAATTCTATCGGCCCAAGCCTGCCATAGCGAAGGACCGGGATGATTCGGTTTTCTATATACGCTCCCTGGAGCGTGCCGGCAGCGCCGCCAGCGGCGATGATCACATGTACGACTCGCTGAAGGTGATAAATGAGCGTCGCTCGACCCTGCTAAAGGCCGACTCGCAGAGCTCGTTGGGCTCCGCGGAGCGCAAGCTGAGCAGCTTTTCGCTCAAGATGCCGGACATAACGGAGCGCGAGAACTCGATAGATATAGAGGACGGACCTCCGATAACACAGTCAATCGTAGAGCTTGAGAAAAACCCACATGAAACTTAAATATTGACCGAGATAATATAAATGTGTGTGCGTGCGCGTGTGTGTGTGTTGTGTGTATTGATAAGGTGGTGTATTGACAGTATTGACAATGACAGTTACTTTAGCACGGATCTATTATAATGTTGGGAAATACAGAGATTTTTTGATAAGCCTGCAAAAATTGGTACACCGAATTTGAATTTAAGTTAAGTGTAGAAATACGATATCGAAATACCCTTCCTTTCACTTTCGCGAATCAAATCTATTTGAAAAATCGTTAACTATGAATCGTTATCTGTGTTGCCCTAGGCACTAATCGATGTATTACAAATTAACTATTTATGTGTTTCAAATTGTAGTCGTCCCGCTGTTGAATTGTTAATGTAACTACAAAAAGAAAATCGAATATAACATTGTTATATGTTGAAATGCATTCTATGGATATGAACGAGCTTTTAATGATTAAGCGCTCCGAACCCGATTCCGGCTGTATCCTGTTTCCTCTGTCTAAGCCAGAAGAAAACAAATGCTTAAGAATTCAATTTGAAATTGTATATAAGTAACTATATTATATGTAATATTACAATCAGCTTACAAGCGAAGACTGATGTTCGTAAATTTATGTTCTATTTGTGAATTGTGCGCTAAAAGTTCTGAAAAAATGTCAATTTCTGTTCAAATACAATGAAAAGCAATAAGAAATTATAATTATTGATAAAGCACAGAGTGCAACGAAAATAACAAATCAACAAAATTATGTTTCAAGTGTTCCACAACTTAAACATTTAAAAGCGAAAAATATCAGAAAATCCGAATATCAGCCAACTTTGGTTTACTGAAGTTTATCAGAGTAATATATCAAATATTTTCACAGAAGGTTTGCAGCAATTTCTACCAACGTAATTATTGATAATCGTATATAACAATAATGTAAAGTATATACTTTACATAATACTTATACACACATAAATATGTATTTTATATCTGAGTGTTAATTTATAAATCGAAATCAAAATCGAACGCAAACAAATGTTTCTTAATCCATGTTTCTTATAAATGTGTTAAACAAAAATGTAAACCAAAAATTTAGTGCAGTCAGGCATTGACACTGAAAGAAATATGAAGGAATTTGTACTTATGAAAATATCAGAAAAAAAAAAACAAAAACAAAAACAAAACAAAAACAAAAACAAAAACAAAAACAAAACAAAAACAATCCAAAATGTTATATGTACTCACTATTGATGTGCAACGAGTTTTATATTAACTGTTTATTGCATGAGAGATTCACATTCATTAGAAATGCAAACAATATTTATATTAATAAAAGGAATTATATGTGTGTGTTAAAATTGAGAGACTTGAAAATTACTTCAAATATTTTATCAATCAAATTTTTCAAATTTACAGAATGTAAACGGGACTTTCTTTCGTTTAGTGTGTTTAGTGTATATTTTATTAATTTGTTTCTGTGGAGCAGCGTTTCGTTTGGTGTGGAGCCATTCTGTTATTTAACATAGCTTGCCAGAGCAAGCGCAATGTTAGCTCGCATCACAATTGTTGTTGTCCACGCCATACACACAATTCTGCGGAATTTTTAGTTTAATAGCAATTGACGATCTACGACCAGACTTGCCCAAGTTTGGAAAACATTCTACCTAACACGCTTCCCCTTCCGTAGCAAATAAGCAAACGAAATAAAATGGTAGTTGGGTAAGTTACAGCACATTGGCTTTCAGCAAATTACGTAACCTTAAAGCTTACCCATTGATCCATGTTAGACTTTTGGTGCGCTGCGGTGTAGTCGCTGGCGCTGTCTACTACACCCGCCAGGCTGGCGTCTGGGGCAGCACGGATGAAACGGATAAGCTATACAAAAATGTGAAGACACAGCTGACTCCCTATGTGCAGCAGGCAAGAGAGCAACTTCCCTTCGACGTGCCCGAACTGCCAAGGGTGGGCGAGATGCGCTTCCTGGCCAAACACTACTACAACGAGGGCGTCAAGAGCTCCTTTCGGTTTATCCACATGCTGCCCTGCTATGCGGGCCGAGGCCTCAAGAAGGTGAAAGACACAATTGAGGAATTTGCCAAGGCACCCGCGATAAGCGCCAGCAGCGAGAAACCGGCGACGGAAACGGCGAACAAGTAGTCCAATAGATGCTCTGCTTATCTATCTATTCAGTAGAAGGCTGTTTTCATGTGTTAGTTCATAGCTAGTCTATTGAATACTATGTTTATATACCATTTCACCCCCAAGACAATTGTCGAGTAGCTCTGCGCAGGGTTGAAGATGTCAAAAATACTTATTTACCTCTTTTTTTGTGTGGAATACTTAAGCGGATCGCGCTCGTTCTTCTATTATAGCAATAAACAATATTATGTCTTAAGCGTGAAAGCCGCCTAGAGAACTTATTAGGCATTATTTAATTTAAAATAAACCAATGCGATCGCAACTATTACAATTTTGTAGATGCTAATGTACGAAAATTCTCAATTGTAAATCTTAACGAGTTCTCAGCGTGATAAACTTGTATTATTTAAAGAGTCGCGACAGTTAAAAAACAAGTCATTGCTTTTAATTTATTATAAAGAAATCTAATATTTGGCTAACAAATAGACAAACCATGATGACGAAGGTAAAAAGATGGTAGCTGGGCAGACGCTCCGGTGAGCAATACGTGAGTGAAGCAGGCTGTCTTATAGCCTTATGGGTGATCCCCAGACGATATCAAATGCCAAAGATTGACTCAGAGATATCACATTTAATTAATATAAATTATTCATTCTTTAAATATATTTTAATAGATAACCAAAGCAATGAGATAACACCTATAAATGACAATTATGGGCAAGCATTAAATTGAATGTTTAGTCCTTATTAAAGATAGAAAGAAGCTTGTGGGCAAAGATGTTATCTGCCCAAGTCAGATCAGGCCACTTTAAGCAAGAGTCTTGCTCCCCTTCAACAAAGAAGTCGAGCATCTGTTAGGGCTGCACAGGCACAATAGATCATCTCGGACGCAGTCTTCCGCCCCTCCCACCACTCTATTGACAGACTCCCTTTACATTATTAATATTATTTATAGTTAACTATAAATTATGAGCAGCATCTAATTCCCTACTTTATAGTCCAATGTATTTGCTGTTAAGAGTGCAAGCAATGCTCCACATTGTCAATCACTATAATAATATGTTGTATATTGTTGTCAAACAAGCTTCGCGGAGCAGCTCGTTGCTGATAAACAATGAAGAATATTGGGGCAGGCTGTGCACGGAGCGTTTCGCTGACAAACGTCACTCATCTCGGCGCATCAGATATTGACCGACTGAGTCATTGATTAAGCCGTAGAGAGTGAAGGTTGTCGGCCGGCTGGCATTTCCAGATTACGTCCAATTACAGTGGCAGTCGGGCTTCCGTTGTGATTTGGTTTACTGTAAAGTAGATATTACGCATACGCCGCGTATGTCTAAATATCAGACATTAAACATGGCTTTGTACGGCTCATTGGGCAAATAAAACAAAGCTAACAAAGCGTACTATATACGGAACAGACGTCACCTGGAGGTAAACGTGTGCCGCGCACTGATAACAGCCAGCTCTGCCAGTCGTATCCCTAATAGTGGAGCACTTGAGTGCCTCCAAAAATACACCAGCCGGGCGATAAAAAAACCCCTGTTTAGGACAATTGCTGCAGTTTGATGTAACTGTCACGGTTTTAATTTTAGCAATGGTCGCAGCCAGCCACTTGAGTTCGGGCTCTGATTATCTTTGGACGGGGGCAAAATATGAATTTTGATTTTTTTTAATTTAGAGTATTTGTCATGTCTATTTATGATATTTGCCTATATTCTCGCGCTGCTGCCTACAACTATTTACTCGGCACACAAGCACTTTTTAATTAATAAAACGTTTTTGTGTTTTATTTTCTTGCTTGTTTATTGGCCCAGTTAAGCGGCACCAAACACAAGTAACTGTCGGCCACAAAGTTGTCAACTCTCGTCTCGCTGACAGGCAGCAGATAAAAATTTACTACTCACACCACCCCCGGATCAGGCCCTGCTCCCTGGTTAGCCATGAGTCATGCTATGGCAAAGATAATGTCAAGATCTAGATCTTGGTACAGCGGCTGCTGCTGTGGTAATGCTGGCGGCAAAAGTACAAAAGACTCGATATGAATCGAATTATATCACGTGTTTTATAATATAACGAATTTTCATTTCAACTTGTTAATAATTAAATTTGTTTTGGTAAGTGCAAATGGTCAATATTTGCCAGCCAGTTGAAAGCAAATATAAAATCACATTTTCGGCGACCCATAAAAAACGGCAAACACACCATATAAAAAACAAAAAAAAAAATGCAAATAAATAAACGCTTAACCTCTAAATGGGCGAAAACATGTATACGCCATGTTGTGCCGCCCCTCCCCAAGGCAGACACAACAAGCAACACCTCAGAGACCTACAACGATCTAGAGGCCGCAAGGAGAGCAAATGTTGTATGAGCATACACACACCTGACACACACACCCACACACCCACACACACACACACACACACGCACGCGCACACACTGTCAGTGATAAGCAAATTTCTTTTCGACATTGCGCATACGCCGCCGCGCGTGACGACACAAGAAAGTGTCTGACTATATAAGAAATAAGAGAAGATCGTGTTTATTTGTTTATTTGGCGCACAATAATTAAAAATGCTTTCTTGTTTAGTTTAATTAAAGCACTGATAAACAAAATATATACGTTGACTTGGTCAACAAATAAATTGACGCAGATTCAAAGTTCAATATGAAGTTTCCAACTGCATAAATAATTAATCTACGATTTTTGCAGAAAATTGCACTATGATAACTAACGGGGTCTTACGACAGATTTAACAGATTATAGTCCTATATTATTTGGGCATTATTTGTAGAAACTAAAGACATCTTCCGCTGTTCGTGCGGTTTATAAGCTTAAGTTTATGATATTTAAATTATGTGTTTTAAGTCTCCTTTAGGTTAAAGTAAAGCATTTGTCAGTTTCAAAAATCTGTTATCTAATTGACGTGCGTCGTGTTGGGGCCAAACTAAGAAAGCACATTCATGGGAAAAGAGCTATAAAGTGTATATTATATGTATATATGTATATATAATACTGCTGCCCAGCTCTATACCCTTTATATTGTAGCTGTTGTCAGGTCTTGCATTTAATTAAAGTTCGATTTATAATTTCGATTTAAGCATTCAATGTCTATGCAAACAAAAAAATCAATTAAACAAACAACACAGCAGACACGATCATGATCAGTGTGCTTTCAGCTACTGTCGCATCCATAGCAACAATGAACGTAATGTTATTAACTCATTTTGTTATTGGCCATTTGTGATATTCAATTATTGTCACACAAATATTTCTCTATGTCACGTAGCGGCTTTTGCTGATTGTTGATGTTGTTGCTGCTTATTAAATTGCCAAACAATAGCGTTAAGAGGGCGACCTCTAAGCATAAGCCGGCAGCAGCATCGTATGCAAAAAGGTTTGTTCAACCAACAAAACCGCATAAACAATGATTGTTCTTCAATAATTGTAAGCTGCTGATAAGAATTAAACAGTTTGCCAAAAGTTTGTTGAACTGCCAATCGCAGGCAGACAGGCAACAACAACGACAACAACAACGACAACTTATATAATTAATTTATATGCTACATTCAATAATTAATTTGCTCAAATCATGTGCGTTCGTGCATTTGTTTAAGCAACAGCAAAGCGTGTGCCTTGGGCAAATATTACAAACTGAAGCACCCAATCGCCAATCGCTTAATTACAATCCGATGTCGTATTGCCACAAACACACACACACACACACACACACACACTACAAATCCATCCCCATTTGCCGCCCCACTCCTCCAAATAATATGGCTTAATATGCTAATGCTGCAACTAAGAAATGCTGCATCAATTTGCACATTCATAATTGTTGATGTGCATTAATTACGATTTCTACTATTTATTTGCGTTGACTAGAACGCATTTCCAAGACTCGGAGATACCGGTTTGCTTTATATTCCAACACACACTTATGTAATGCTTCCGATATCGTATATACACAAATTGCTTTAGTTATTATATGTGCCATTTGAAATAATACCCTCTAGAATGTGTGTTAGTGGTGTAATAATGCCAAACGGTTGAGTGTGTGTGAAATGGGGGGCAGGACCTAGCTCGGCTGCATACAAAATTTGTAAATACTTAGTCAGAGATTGGAGAGTTTGAGTTCTAAAAATAAGTTGTTCAAAATGAAACACTACAGAATGTGCCTAAAACCGGCTTTGAACTGAACCAGATCTAAGTCTGAATTCTCTTTCATTTCTTGACATGACCCAAGTGAGTTGACCGCAAAAAAAAAAAACTAAAATTATGCCTTGGTATATTGTGTAAGTACTGAAGAATATCCAGCTACAAAGCATAATTAGCTTTAGCCTCAATTATTGCACATATCGAACCCTGATCAAATCTAGCCCGCTTCTTGTTTACGAACATATGTATGTACAGTAAGCCATATATTCAGCACAAACGGGCAAAATTAAGTGATTCACAAATCAGAGTTTGAACCAAAAGGAAAATCAACTCTGGTTCAAACCGTGAAACGAACCACTAAGAACTTCCTTTGTTCTGGCTGCCCTGAATAACTATGATATGGAATATGTGCGCTGGAATATTTATAAATACAACTCTTGATTACTATAGGGTATCTGCTAGTCGTGCTGTTGTGGCTTTTGCTGCTGCTGCAGCTACTGATGCTGTGGCCAGTTTAAAAGTGAGACGATCTCCGGCGACCCTGCGCTGTCGCCTTTACGCTGTTCGACAGCTAACACCGCAGCACCGAGAACACCTTCACAAGCCGACAACACATCGAACCGAGCTGTGCGTTGTTCTTGTTGTGATTATTGTTGTTGTTGTTGTTGTTGTTGTCTGGCTGGCTGGTTGGCTGACTGTTTGGCTTATCAGCACAAGCGAACGTACATTTTGGGCAACTGCGACTGCGGCAACTACTTACAGAAAAATTTCGCTAGCTTCCCCCGCAGCTGCTCAGCGTTCGGCTCAGTGCTCTTTGAGAGGCTTCGCAGTCGACGACAACAACTTCGGCAGCGGCAGCGGCGGCAGCGGCGCAGCGCAGCGACCTGGTGGCAGTCAGGTATTTCTGCGAGGCGCAAACGCGACGCGAGCTCAAAGCGGCAACGACAAGCAACAGGTCCACGTCCTCGTCGGCATTAGAAAATTGCCAGAACCAATCAATTAAATTATTTATTTATTATTATTATTATCAATATTATTTATATGCAATTCGAGATCGTCGAAGTGAATGTTGTGAAGTGAAGCGAGGATAAAAGATCGTGTGTAAATCGAGCCGGCGACAGAACAAGTGTTCGAGTGTTCAACAAAACATGAGCATTAAGCAAATCGAAATTAATTAAGTCAAATAATACACAATAAGTGCTCAATAAAAGTGAGGTAACAATATTTGAAAACTTTAAGCAATTTCGACAAAATGAAGCATCTGTATTTTGTGCACTTTACAAAAGTATTTTTAATAACAATTATATGCAGAAATATACAAACGATTGTTGGGTAAGTGCAGCTAAATTGTTTTTAACTAATGTCTCAGGAATTTTAAAGTTAGGAAGTAGCTAGAGAATCTCTGCCTTTTTATATTTATTTGTCATATTTCCGCTCTCTTGCACTAGGCAATGCTGATAGTAATTTTAATTTCTTTCTAAATTTACAAATAGACTGAGGTGAAGAGCACGAAGCAATTGCGACTGATAAAACTAAATAGCATTGATATGTTTCCATTTGTCAGATACAAAAAAAAAAAAACAAACAAATTTACGGAGTTTGGCCAAAAATAACTAATTGATTTTTTCGTCTTGGCATTTCTTTGTTCGTTTATTCTTTGTTGCCACACTAATTATTTGGGAGTTCTTTGTTTTGCTTTGAATATTTGAACTTTGTTTTCTTGTTCTTCTTGTTGATCTTCAGTTAAAAGTGAAAATTTCCACAATATGGTTGACTTTTTTTTATTTATACAAATGTTTACATTTTGAATGACAGTGTTACACAACTGATAAAAATGATAAGAAATTGCTGCAGTTTGTTGTAAAGAACACATTTCCTTGTTCTGTAATATGATAAAGTCAAAAGATGTCTGGGAATTTCAGCTGGTTATCAATTTTAATATGAACAATTATTCCGATAGAAGATGTGCCAACAGTTGATAAATTAAGTAAAATGACAATCAGCATCGAAATAACATAGATATTAATATTATGGTGAAAATGAGCTGGCATTACGTATACGCACTGCCGCCATAAATTTGCCGTTATTTATATATGCCGCCGACGCTATAAAGCAAATATTTCCATAATTCGAAGGTGCTACAAATTTTAATTAATTCAAGCCGACTTTCGGGTCTCATGTGCATAAGGTTAGAGCGAGAGAGGGAGAGAGCTCATGGAAAATTATTATCTGCCATTAAATGCAATGTCAATAGGTAAATATTTAAAAGCAAACCAGAAATAAACGAGCTACTGGAGTTTATTTATGGATTTTCTGGTTAGGGATCAGGCCAAGTGCAATAATTGAATTAGTGTTGGCTTGTGTAACAACAACAACAACAACAATAAACTCTAAACAATAACAATATTAATAATAGAGCAAAGTAGGCAAATATCCCAGAGACTTAGCTTCAAATGAGCTTGCACAGCTGCCCAATGGCTTGCGTCCACCCCCGCCCCTTCCATTGGAATAACACTTAACACTTGCCATTAAAAAATGTAAATACTTATAATATTTGTATAGCCTATTGAAATTGGAGCTGTTTTTACTTATCTCATAAACGCAAAGCCAATTGCATTTTTGGCCAGTTGCATTTAAATATAAATGAACTGCAATCAAATGCAATTAATTAATTGACCCAAACATTATTCGCATTGCTCATACGCAACGTTAGTCTGACTCAAGGGGTTCACTCACTTCATTCTGACCATCTTCTAGCGCCGCAAATGACAGCAACGTGGACGAGAACTGCCCAACGCTGGCCAACGCGGACAGTTTGCAGTACACGGAACTGATACAAAGGATGACGCATGTCTGTCGTTACGATCGTCTGGAACGACCCATAGGCAAGTGACGGAGCATAATCCTAGCAGGTCACTGGCCGAGTTTCTAATCCGATTATTCTTCACAGAATACGACAAGGAGACTTCAAAGCGTCTGCCCATTGTGGTGAAGATGCGCATCTATGTGTACTTGCTGCAGAATCTCAACTCGGATCTGTTGCAGTTCAAGATGCACGCACTGCTGCAGCTCAGCTTCCAGGACAAGCGACTAGCTTACAAGGAGTTTGCGCCGGAGCGACGTGAAACGATTTTGGGCCAGAAACATCTCAGCGAACGCCTCTGGCTGCCGCACATATTCTTTGCCAACGAGCGAGAGTCGAGCATATTGGGCACTGACGAGAAGGACGTGCTCACATCCATATCACGCGATGGCAACGTGATCATCTCCACGCGAATACAGGCCTCGCTCTACTGCTGGATGAACTTCAAGAAGTTTCCCTTCGATCAGCAATACTGCTCCACGGTGCTGGAGAGCTGTAGGTTGTCCACAGTTTCCTATTGGTCGCATATAATAATGGGGATTCTCTTTTAGGGATGTACAACACTTCAGATTTATTGCTGGAGTGGGAGGATCGCGCGCCCATATCCTTCGATCCCGAAATGCGGCTCACCGAGTATAACTTAGGCCAGTATTGGCACAACACATCCATTGTGCTCTCAGATGAGGTCAATATGCGACATGGTGCATTCCGTAAGTAATCTGACAGTGAATCCTTTTATAAATCTTATAAAATACTCCTTTTTTTATAGAGGGCAACTATAGTTCGCTCAGCTACACGGTCAATTTGCAGCGCGAGATTGGTTTCTATCTGTTGGATTACTATCTGCCCTCCATGATGATTGTGGCCATATCATGGGTGTCCTTCTGGCTGCAGGCTGATGCCTCACCGCCGCGGATTATGCTGGGTAAGCTAATTAATCTAAGTAATCGCTGAGATTATTAAGCTAGCACTTCTTCTCTTCTCTTTAGGCACCAGCACCATGTTGTCCTTTATAACGCTATCCTCATCACAGAGCAAAACGCTGCCGAAGGTCAGCTATATTAAGGTATCGGAGGTGTGGTTCATTGGCTGCACCTTCTTCATCTTCGGCAGCCTGGTGGAGTTTGCCTTTGTCAATACGATATGGCGACGCAAGGAGAATATTGAGCTGAAGAAGGTCAACAGCAAATATATTATAAAATCCACATTAACGCCGCGTCCCTCGCGCCGTCAGATTGGCGGCAGTTTGAGCAACGATTCCAGAGCACGCTCCTGCTCCAGCCTGGACAACATTGTATCCAGCACGGAGAGTGTGCGCAATGGTAATGGCACTGTCAATCCCGCCTTTAACAATTATCTAACAGTTCATGTAAGTCAATGCAGACATTAAGGAGTTGCCTGGATGTTTATATTTATATCCTTTGATTCCTTACAGCCCAACCTGCCCATCATACGCACTGAGTGCGCTGATAATGTTTCGGTGTGCAGCGCGCGGTCAAACAACGATCACGTTGTGGACATTGATAAGGATAAGGATAAGGACAAGGAGAAAGATGCACCAACATTTACAACCATGACGCCACAAGAGATCGCCATGTGGATTGACAGACGTTCGCGTCTGTTATTTCCCGGCATGTTCTTGGCCTTTAATGCGCTTTACTGGATATTCGTCTATTGTTTTTAGGCTTAAGCGAACTGCACACAATTATATATGTGAACTATTAACGAACGCACCAAATTGTTGCCATACATGTGATTTCTTGTCGCTTGTGTTTGTTTTCTCTTAATATTACGCTTATTGTAATATGTATTAATTAATTGTAAGTTACATCATCTCATAGTCATAGTTGTACAAATGTCACGCATATCTTATAAATACATTCAATAAATACTTTAAGTGCAAAATCAGATATCAGACTTTTAAATATTGCGCTATGCGGTAAGTGTGGCCAAGTGCGAGCTGAATAAAATTCACCAGCTGTTAGTTAACAGACTGTAAAGCATACAGCTGTTAGCGCACGACTTTCTGCAACACAGCACCAGATGGCGATGTTGCTGCGACAGCTTGGCTATGGAAGCCGTCAGGAGGCGCTTTTTGCATGTGCAGAACAAACCGAACGCAAACGTTGCAATTAAACTAATTAGTATATAATAATTAGCCATTTATTGCCAATTAGCAGAAATTTTGCGATTTGGCTCACCAATTAAGCCACATATAAGCGAAGCTAATCAGCTTAATTAATTCGAATACGCAACAATTAGCATAGCATTCCTTCAATCGGAGTTGCTTCCCGCTTAACGTTCATATCCGTTGCATTCAAATTTCCTGCTTTACTTCGGTTCACTGCATCCAAGAAACCTCCACCCAGGCATTCGCCCGCCCATCCTCACGAATCTGTGTATCTAAGCTCGATGCATTTGGCACTTTCGTTTCCCTAAATATAATCAAAATATGCAAATGCAATTAGGGGAAAATTTAACATTTACAATAGCGTGTTAATGCCCTATATTTATATATCTACATATATTCATGACTTGGCAAGCATTAACAGATTCTGTTTGCTTTCGGAAAAGTGAAATTCCTTGTGCCACTCAGTTTTTATGCAAGTGAGGCAAACATTTGCATTTGGCTGCTAAGAGGCTTAAGTTGCAATATAAAATTTAATTATATATACATATATATATATATATATATTTTTTTTTTATATTGTATGATACTTCTTTTGATATATTCTCTTTTTATGCCCCATTCTTATCCGCTTTTCATTGCAATTTCTTTCGTATTATTCGCGACCCTGCGCTGGCCCATTGCACTAGCTCGTAAATTGAAGCATAATTTATTGAATTTGCGCGCTCATCGAGCGAATTGCAGCAAAAAAAGGAAAATCGCAGCGAGCAACAGTTGGTCGTTGATTTGTATCTGAAAATTGCATCAGTTTATCAGTTTAACATTACAATCAAATTACGCACATGTGACTATGCAATCTAAACGGGAATTCGTTGCATTCAATTGCCATGTAAATTGATGCCAAAAATGATTTGACATTTGTCTGCATTTGCAATTACGCTATGAATTAATAGCAAATTATTAATAAATCGTTTTTAAAGTACAATTACAATTTTCAAATAATTTTAGTCATACACAATGCTATTTTTATGTCCCATAAAGTTTGTAAAATGGTTCTAGAAAATCGCATAGAAAGGTTTATGTTTAAAAAAGAGGAAAGAGAGCGAGGGAAAAGGAAAAGAGATAGAGAGAGGTATAGAGGGACAGATAGAGAGCTAGAGAAGGGCATATCTATCTCAATCACACGGTTACCTCACGCATTTAACGCCCTTCTGTGCGATTTTCAAGAATTCAGGTGCTCCTGAAGAGCCATATGAAATTTTAATGAGCATATATTAAAAGCTTATATTTAAAATGATATTGTGTAGACATCACATCGCAGCTTGCATTAAATATAATGACAATAGAATGCAGCGTTTTTGCGTCTTATTCTCTCGCTAAGAATAGAAATGACATAGCTTGACAGTCTTCGGCATTATATGGTATTGTTTTCAGTGTCCTTCTTTTTAGTTTGTGGCAGTTCACACTTGGGAAATCAAAAGACATGACGTCAATCAATTGCTGCTGCTCTCAAGTGACAATCAATTGAGCTGCGGGTGCGTTCTGGCTAAAGGCAAGCACGAGGAGAGGGGGTATCCGAAAGCGGCCTACAGCAAACTACAAAACCATGAGAAGGTTCTTTTATTAACGCCAGCATTTTACCTGGGTTGTGGGTTTTCATTTGCTGGGGCATCATCAAGTGCAAAATTTCCAATTTCCGAAATGCGCCACAGCAGCAACAATGGGCCACAGATATTGACATAGATACGTGCTATGGAGTCTATATATATATATATATATATATATTTATATGGATATATGGTGGCACCCAAACGTTTATTTACATTTGCAGAGCAATTTTATTATTTGCCATTTTGCTGACCAGTTGAAGGCACGAGTTTGCCTTTGATTTTGTTGCACAACATTTGGCAGCAGCTACCTGCAGGTGCCTCTAAACGCTGTTTGATTAAGCCGGCCATTTGTATCTGTGTATCCATTTGTGCTACTATCCGTAACTGGCAGTTCCGCTGACGCTGTGTAAATTTGTTAGCTCTGTCTATTTGCTGCAACTATTTGCCGATGTGCTTGTTTACTCGTCTGCACTGCCTGCTCCAACGATATGCCATCGATTGGCAATGCTCTTAAGCTCTTAGTCGCGAAACGCAGCTTTCAATTCTTCATTTAAGTTAATTATGCTTTTAACAATTGCGCAACTGCTAGCTGCTACATTTATGCAACAAATTGAGTTAACATCTCTGGACTTGGCTCATTTCGCATTCTGTTTACGTATTAGCTGCCTCGCCTCATCGCATATTCGATTGCAATTTGTGTTATTAAAAGCTGAAACATGGCCGCTTCCTCTGTGCTGCTTTAAATGCGTTAATTTATCACCAGTTGCCTAGCGAGAGAAGTCTGCGCCTTTGTATCTTTGCCATTTCAATATAGGCATTTGACTAACAAAAATGTGTTGCATACTTTCGAGCATATTTAGTTGAGCTTTGTCTATATGTTAGTCACGTCTGCGAGGGAGTCTCAGCACATGTTAGGCTCAAGATTTATTGGTACCCTTAAGTGAGACTCAATGGCACTTATTATGCCCCGTGATATGAGTTAAAGTAATGCCTATGCGACTATATAAAGCATAAGAGCTTGACCAACCAAATCTAGTCGAAATGTTTTTGAATGAATGCACGACTTTTAATTATAAGTTAGCCTGAAATGGCTCAAAATAACTGGCACATAAAAAGCTCAATTAGCTAAATATAGCTACGTATTAATACTCTAATGCGCGTTTAATAGGCATGCAACATTAGTTGGTAATTAGAAACAGTTGCTTATATTTATAGAAAATCAAATTAAATCTAATGAGTCGTCCAGCTGAAGAGCAGCTACTTAAATACACAGAAAGTATCTATTCGATTCAAGGTTGTAATAATACAATTGTTACTTTGAGTAATTTGTATCTTATCTTTTAATATACGTATTATGTTTACTTGATTAATTATGTTGAATTAGAAACGTAAACATTTGAGATTCTGTTTTTGACATTGCCCCATTCCCAAAGGGGTTAACACAATAAATAAACTGTGGCAATTCAAAGCAAACCCATTGAGTGCAGACTTCAACTGAATTAAGATATTACGAAAGCTAATTGTGTGTAGCAAATCACTTTAAATAAATATTTTAAGAGTGTTTTCGACAGGTGCAAACACAAGACAAAAGCAAATTTTAATCAATACTTGAGAAACCCAAGAGCCACAATTTAATAAAAGCAAAGTCTACAGGCAAAGTCTTGAAACTAACTGAAAACTATTTTATAAAGTTCATATAGTTTTTGACATGTTTTACTTTTTGTTTTTAATGTTGCGATAGCCAATTTATATTCTTTTATCTCACATTTTCTACTGTTGGCGAAGGTATTATAATTAAGTCGCAAAGTATGTAACGCATTGAAGCAGACTGCATGACTCCATAGCGTATATATATATTTTCTTGATAAAGTCAACGATTAGATATAGCTTTTTCTTGGCATAGATTCCCCTTTTTGCTATAGAATTCGTATACATAGCATATCGGAGACATTCGGATCGATTTTTAAATATACATTTTTTATTTCATGTGTCTGATTATTTATCTTGATGAATTTTGGCATATATCTGCCCCTCATGCTATAGGCTGTATATAGGAGTTATTCGGATCGCATTTCTTTATAAATGACTTGTTATATAAACGATCTGTCGGCAAGAGTTTTATATTTTAAGATTTCTGAATAGATCCAACTAACATAGGAACTCTTTCTTAAGCAAATCCAAATTCTCATCAACATTAGTTTTTCAAATAACATAAATCTTACATAGCTTAACTTGTAAATGTCTGCAAGAGTATTTCATCTTCGGAGCGCCGGAGTTTTTAGTTTTTTTTTTGTTTAAATTGTTACAATTGAATTGAACTGTTGCAAAGTGTCCAACAGAATATGTTGCATGCCATGCTTGGCCTCAAGCAAAATTTGAATTGTCAAAAATATAACGAGGTTTTATCCCGCCCACCCCACAACCCACCCACCCCGCTGAGCCCATCTCTCAGTTCGTTGGCCGTTGTCTCGTTGCGCTGACATAAACTGCATTGAAATGTCATAAAAATTGAAACACGTTTCTCTCGTCCACCTCTCGGCTCGCTTGCCGGTTGCCGGTTGCCATCTGCAACCAGGATTCGACTCGTTGTACGTACTGCGCCCTGTGTTCCGTGTCCTGTGTAGTGTGTCCTGCTCCTGGCTGACTTTGAATGGCAGTTGGCTTGTATCGCAGCAGTGTCGCATAATGTTGTTGTTGCCATTGTTGTTCTTGTTGTTGTTGTTGTTGTTGTCGGTTTTGGGCTGCTGCTTTGCATACAAATAGAGGTAATCTTTGGCTCGCCCCGACAGTTGGCCCCAGTCTGGTCGCTGGTTCAACTTTCCTGCTGCGCTCGGCATTTGCCCCATTTCGCTGATGTTGCGCTTTTGCACTTTACACATGGCCATTGGGCTATGCGCAATGGGCGTGGCCATGTGGCCACGTGTGGGCGTTGGTCGGAACTTAGTTGCGCGAATATTACGAAAATTTATTGTTTTACGTGCGAATAATTTTGGGCATTTTTGAATAGGCTTTGAGCAATTGCTGGAATGAAGACTGCTGCAGAACTATGGGCAAATATTCAGTGAATATTTGGACACGGACTATTTGTTGTTTTTTTGTACTGTTTTCGGTTGTGACAAAAGACGAAAACAGCAAATAAAAGATTTCTTG